CGTCCCCGTGCCGCCTGCCTGTGCGCTGGCTGCAGTGCTCTGCGTCTGCAGGTGAACGCGGGGGCCCTCTGGGGCTGAGGACCCCAAGCCAGGAGAAGGCTGGACACGTTCCTGGGCTCAGGCACTGGGTCCCTTCCCGGAGACGCAGGCTGTGCTAACCGAGCCGGGTCGGGTGCTGGGCACAGGCTTCCCCCAGTGCTCCCTGCAGCGGGACGTGCTGCTGTTTGTATGCTCCCTCCTAGGGATGCACCCTGAGCTTGTGTGAGCAGCGCGGAGCGCCGGGGAGCCTCCCCTCTGCTGTCCCCACCTTCCTGCGTGACCCTGCTCCCCTCGGGGCCGGGGACGTGGCTGGCACCCGTGGCTCGCTCAGCTGCAGCGTGACCACCGCAAGGGCAGGCGACAGCCATTGCCAGCAAAGAGTGAAGCTGCAGCAGTCAGCATGGGCACACAACAGGTTTGCTGATGTCTGCAAATCCCCGCCCTGGCTCTGATCCCCGTGTCTGCGCCAGTCGCAGGAGTGCTTGCAGCACCCACCGTGCATTATTAAATGGACCACGGCGCCTGTTCCCGGGGCTGGCTGTGCCCTGGGCTGTCCCCTCCCCTAGAGCTAACTGCATTTTTTCTTCTCCTTGTCAAATTCTGCCAGCCACAGGCAAGCAGACCCAAACCAGCATCAGCACGGCTTCCTCCAGTGCCCAGCAGGCTGTAAAGGGGCTGGGGCAGAGGGGATGTGGAGGAAGATAGCCCCCTGCCCAGAGGAGCTCAGAGCCAGGCAGCAGGGAGAGAACGTGCTCGAACCAACTATTTAGAGACACCAGGGTGTCCCCTCCGTGCAGCAAGCGGGGTCCTGGGCACCCCTGCACAGCAGGATTGCGACCCTCACCGTGACGACTGGTGCTGTGTCAGTAGGTGAAGCCGGCCTCGCTGTACACGGTGAACACCTTCTCCAGAGCACACAGGTAGGCAGCGGTTCTCTGGTCCAGGCCCAGGTTGTACCTTGCAGCCATGGTCATAATTTGCTAGAGAGAGAGGAGAGCTGTGAGGCCGGGGTGTGCTGGGAGGGTCTGGGGGCAACGGCGGGCAGAGGAGCCCGAGAGGAAGGTGCAGGCAGTGCCACGCGTGCAAACACCAGGGCAGGCCCCAGGAGCACTCGCAGGGGAAGAGGTCACCTCCACACCAACCAGCCAAGCCAGCTGTTCTGTAAGACCTGGAGCCATCTACGAGCGGGTCTGGAGATCCTCTCAGATCCCACTGCTGCCTGACCGCGCTCCCGTGGGGACAGACCCTACACCCACGGGCGGGCTCCACGCACACTGCTTACGCTGCTGAGCACGGCATCTCCACGCAGGTGGCATGGACACCCCACCCAGCAGTGCCGGCACCACCCTGCGCCCACTGGCTCATCTACGCAACCCTGGAAATGGGGCACACAGGTTTTGGGGGACGGAGAGAGCGACAGGGACCCAGCGGCAACAAGGGACGCTGCTGAGCGTGAGGCTTTACCCGAAGTGTGGACACAGCCGCCATGGGGTGGATGATCACAGGCCTGGGGCTAACCCAGCGCTACTGGTTATGGGGTGCTGGAGGTGGGTACCCCTCAAATACAGCACAGAGCCTCTGCAGTGAGGCGTCGGGTGTGACAGCAGGGATGGGCAAGGCCAGGAGCCTGTGGAGGTACCTTGGCTGACTGCTCCATAGTGTAGGCCAGTCCCAAATACACGATGTCCTTCTCTGAGGCACCCTGAGGGGGAGAACAAGTGAATCGTTTGTGGGAGAGGCTGGAGGCTGGCCCTCCAAAGCCATTTAATCAAACACATCCCCTCTGCTTGGTGCAGGGCCACCGTAAGTGGTCCAAGGTTGGCTTCCCACCTCTGCACCTGGCTCCAGTACATGGCTTGGCTCCCAAGGCTCCCTGCAGCACCCAGCAGCACCCTCAGATGGCAGGGCTGTACCACCACACATGGCATCTCCACGCCATCCCCTCCACCCGTGGGGTGACAGCACAAGGCACTCAGTGTGTGCCGCAAACTTTCAGCACTGAGATGGCAGACAAGAGTGTCTGGGAATGTGGATCAAGTGAGCCAGGACAACCCTCCGCGGTTGTAGACACTCACAGTCACGCGGGCCTGGAACTCTGGGGACGAGATGATGGGGATCTCCCCTCTGGCCTTGCCAAACCACTGCTCCAGGCTGTGCTGCACCAACTGCAGGAGGCAGTAGCTAGATTCCCGCTCGTACTTGAAGCTGAGGCGGCCGTAGCTAACATAGTTCAGGTTCTTCAGCCACTCGAAGAAGGATACCATCACACCACCTGCATTCACATACATGTCCTGCCAAGGGCACTACACGCTTCAGACTCACTCGCTGCTTAGGGTGACCCTGAGACCCACGACCGCTCTGCGCATCTCTCCTCCTCTGCTTTGGGTGCCTCCCCACACCCTCGAGCTCTGCCCTCAGTGCCAGTCCTGAGGTTACTGGGATGACCAAATCCCAGAGCCACGGCAGCTCTGCACTGCCTCTGCGCAGAGACACCGGCTGCTCTGATACCCTGTGTGACGTGGCAGGGTTTGCTGTTGGCCCATCAGCGGCCACAGGACATCCCAGTGCTGGCCAGGAGCTCCGTGATCTACTGCTGCTGCAGCCAAGAACCAAGAGCGTTCAGAAGGGAAACCAGCATCTGAGATGTGCTCAGGAGCTGGGGGCAAGGCAGGGAACAGGCTGACCGAGACAGCACCATCAGCGCTGCCCGATCCCGGAGCCTGGCAGAGCCCAGCTGGATCCACATCCATGCAGCTGACAGCACCGTGTGGCCCTAATCGCCATGAGCCCGCCATCTCCCTGTGTGCATGGGGATGGACATACCGGGATGACCAGGATGTTTCTCTGCAGGAATATCTCGTGTGCGGCTGGTGTAGTGGAGCTGTTGGCAGCTTCTGCAATGATCTGAGAGGACAAGCAGAGCAGAGGTGAAATAGGTGGAAGAAATGAAAGAAGAAAACAGTGACAGGCTGCTTCCTCTGCTGTTGGATCCCCCCCACCAGGCCACCTCTGGTGGCAGGGGTCTGGGCGGTCGCCTCCCCACCGAAGTTGTTCAGGACAAGCAAAAGCTCGGACCTCGTGTTTAACACAGAATGATTAAAGGCTCAGGCTGCAAAGGACCTTGGCTGTGACAGAGTCCCAGTCTCCAGCACACCCTGTCCCGTTGGTTCCTACAGCTCACAGTGAAGGGAGGAAGCTGGCATTCACAGCAGTCCCCTACCTTGTCCACTCTTATCTGCTGCCTATGATCTGCAGTGTCTACACAGTGACACCCAGTACCTTCGAGGATATCATCTCCTCTGCCCTGTGGGGAGGATCTGATCCAGCAATGAAGACTGAGGATGCCAGCAGGCCCAGCCAAGGTCACTCCAACAATCCTTGCTCCTTGCCAGCAAAGGGAAGGGCTCAGGCTTTCCTCTTCCCCCAAATTACGTGACCTCCCACCTCTGCCTCAGGCTCTGTCCCTCTGGCACAGCGGGCGAGCTGTCAGTGCAGTGATGTGACACCTCCCTGGAGTGCTGAGTGCCAAAGGCGAAGGTTCGGCTGGGCTGCTGTCACTGGCGCTGACGAAGGGCCCGTTGGGAGTGTGCAGGGCGAGCGGTCTGTACCTTTGCTCGCACCCGCGGCGCGTTCTCCCTCGTGAGCTGCTTCTCAATAGCGGCAGGGACGAGGGGGGGGCAGGGGACCTCCAGGATGCTGCCGTCACAGGGCTCTGCTTTCGGGAAGCCGACTATGGTGCCGTGGCCCTGGAATGAGCAGGAGAGTCCTGCTGGGCCCAGCCTGGCAGTGCTGGGCGCTGCCCTCAGAGCTGGACTCCGCAGGAGGTGAGGGGCAGCCCCCCTCTCCGTGGTTGTTTCAGAGACAGGCGCTGACCACCACCCCCTAAGAACACGGACTGGGTTGACTGGGCTCAACTCACCTGCTCATAGTCTTCTAGCTCCTTGGAGTCGATCCCTCTGGGATTGTAAATGGCTCCATCTGTCTCCCCAGCGCAGATGCAGCGGGCTCCATACTCGTGCAGGTACTTCATGGTGTGCAACCCCACTTTGCCAAAGCCCTGCAGCAACACAGAGAAGAGACAGTCTGCGGAGAGGGCAGTCGTGGGGACAAATGCCGAAAACCGACCCGCTGCTCTGGTAACAGCCGCCTCTCAGGAGCCTGAGCCAAGAAGCACAAATAGGAAGCCCTGATCTGGCAGCTCTTGGTGAATGGTTTGGCTGGATGGAGACTAGGACCTGGCAGGACAGAGACCTGCTTGGCTAGTTAGATGGTTTTGAAAAACAGAGCCTGTGGGATAAAGGCTTCTAGCTCAGCCTGTCTTTATCACCTCCAGAGCTCCTGGACGCAGTGTTCCAAGCACAGCACGCTGTTCAGCTTCTAAGAGATGATCTCAACAGAAAACAGATCTATTGGGAAACACCAGCCCCTTGGTGGGCACCACGCATCATCTAGGTGTAATCCAGGCAATCCTCCTGCACCTCCCACTGAGGGGTGCGCTCGGCTGCCACGGCACCAGCACAAGGCAGGGCCATGGAGGCAGCTCAGCTCTTCTTACGGGAACAAATGATTTTGCACTGTCTGCCCCAAGGTGCTTGCCAGCTCGGTACAGCCCCTAAAAGTGACACTGGTTCCTGAGACTGCAAAAACATCCCCCAAACACAGCAAAACTGTGCACACAGTAGCCAAGCACTTCAGCCTTCTTGTTCTCTGCCACCCCAGTGAGGCAGAAGGCTGCGTGGAAAGCAAAGGGATGAGCAAAGGCAGGGCCATTCCCAAGGGCACTGTGGGCAGCAGCTCCGGGCGCAGCCTCGGTTCAAAGGCTCTTCCCCGCGGCAGGGAGCTGTGCCGGGGAGCGAGCGCTCAGTGGAAAGCACAGAGTGCCGGCCGCAGGCAAGACCTTGGCTGCGCGGTCTCCAGTTTACTTCTCCCTTGCAGAGAGCAGTGGCCTCAGCAGGAGACCGGCAGCTGCGGGCAGAGCGGGCAGTGGGTCGGGGCAGCAGTGCCTGGCCAGGAGCAGGAGGCCTGGAGCTACAGCACAGGGAAGGACCTTGCTGCAGCTGTGAGCAGGCCCTGGGCTGCAGGGAAGGGAAGGTCCTTGCTGGAGGAGAGGGGAAAAGGCAGGGCTGGTGCCCTCAGGGTCCCACTGAGCTCCCAGGCCACTGGACAAGGCAAGGCCAGCGCGGGCCCGACCCACAGAGCCCCCAGAAGAGATGGGGCTGCACCCCCAAGCAGGACCTTTGCCGTGGGTAACGTCACGGCTTGCTGCGGGCGGTTTGGAGGTAACAGAAATGTGACACTGTCACTGAGGTCGCCTCTTTCTACCCAGTCTGGCAGAGCCCGCTGTGTCCTGCCACTTCTCTGCTCCTCCTGCTGTGTCAGTTGCAGCCGCCATTTTACGAGTGTTTTCAGGTGGGATGCCTACAGAGCAACCCTGGTAGTGCCCGTGCGATGTGAGCAGTGCGGCATCCCTGGACCTCTGCATGCAGCAGGTCTGAAAAACCACTCCAATGAATGCCAGCTGCCACAGGGTGAGGAGAGATTTGGGAAATCGCATCCAGGCAGCATGGAGTCTGAAAGCTCTCCTGGAAAGGAGGGGCAGAAAGATCCCAGGAAGTGACCTCTTCAGAGCTGTAGCTGGGCTGAGCGCTCACCTGCAGCACAAAGGTCTTGTCAGGGAGGCCGGGGCTCAGGCCAATGCAGTCCATGTAGTCTGTGTTGGTGACGTAGTTCTCAATGCCATGCAGGACCCCCCGCCCAGTGGCGGAATGTCGCCCGTGGATGCCTCCCTGGCTGATGGACTTCCCCGTCATACATGCCTGGGTATTGATATCCTGCAAGGCCGGGATGGGGAGAGCAAAGGTCAAGGTCTCACCTGGTGCAGATCCTCTAGAGAGGACTTTCCCCAAGCTTCAACTTCCCTCACCCTCCCCTAAGCCCTGGCTAAATCTAAAGAAACTCACTGGGAAGGGCGTCTGGGCAAGAACACTTGTAGTGCCTGCGGCATGCCAGGCTCCAAACCAGCACTGTCGGAGCTTACCCGGTACCCCAGCGTGTGGGTGTAGGTGTCAGCTATCCAGGACATCTCCCGCTCCCCAGTACTGACATCAGGGGCCAGCACATCAATCCCAGGCCCTGAAGAGGTAGAAAAATCTGTCAGATCCTCTCCTTGCATTTCAATTGCTTTGCTCCAGCCAATGGCACAGCCACAGCCAGGCGATTTCCGCAGGCTGGTCACGTCCGTGGCCCCTGACCAAAGTGTGGTTCTGCCCATGCCCCTGGCTCTCCTCAGATTACCGCAGGCACGAACAGCTTCGGCTTTTGCAGGGTCTCTGCCTTGTCCCTTCCCACTACTTCCAAGTAAAGAGGGAATGCAAAGGTCTTTGCCTTGTGACCAGCACCCACTGAGCTCTCTGTCACACGGTGAGGCAGGAGAAAGCTTCACTCCTCCCTGCGACTGCGCAGGCCAGTGGGAACGGAGGGTAACGTGCAGGTGAGACCCCTGCCCAGCAGTACCTGGGAGGCAGCCCGGGCCAGCCCTGCTGTGCTTGGGGCCGCACGAGGCTCCCCCAGCTCCAAATTCACAGCGCAGGCAGAGCAAAGCGGTGCACATACAGCAGAGCACCAGGGCAGTGAGCGCTGCTGACAGGCAACGCGTGAGCAGCAGCCTCTGTGCCTGCCCAGTCAGGCAGCCGCTGCCCGTTCCCCTGCCCGCAAGCCACACGCTGCTTACAGAATGGGGACAAAACCACTCTCATCTATAAATCCCTTCTTGGCCATCTCTACAGTAAAATGCCTCGTTATTTTCTCCAGCTCATGATCCTGTGCAAGAACAACAAAACACAGTTGTTAACACAGGCCCCAAGAAAAATCACAGAGCTGCAGTACAGCATCCGGCAGCTGCCCTGCTCTGCCTGCCCAGGGCACACCCGGCCGTCTCCGGGGAGTTAAGTCACAGCAGCTGGGACCCTGGATCGAAGAAAAAGAGATGTGTGAACTCCTGGTGCCTTTGCTCAGTGCCCTCCCGACCCCTCGCTGGTTTGCGCCTTCCCCCAGCACAGCAGGCAGCGGCAGGAGCCTCCCTGCTCCGGTCTCCTTCAGTGTGTGTCTGGCCAGATGCATTGACCCATAAACCAGAGCTCACCACCCCTCTGCCCGCCCCGAGCGGCTTTTCGCAGGCGCTGGTTGGGTGTTCCTCACTACAAACGTCTCCCCTGGCTCGGCAGAGTGCTCCACTGTGAGACGCACAGAGAGGGAGGGCTGTGTAAATGGAGCGTGAGTTATGGGCTGTCGGCAGGGGAAGGAGAGTAGTGAACTCACTGAGTGTTTCCTCGGATCAGTCCTCACCCCTGCCGTGGCACCACCAAAAGGAACATCCGGAAAAGACCGGGTAAGACAGATGTTCTCTGCCAGCCCACCTGCTGTCCAGCGGCAGGAGGTGATCATGGCAATCGTGACCTTGTCGGTGAACGCAGGCAAGGGGCCACGGCTTCGCCACGCCACACATGGCTCCCCCCTAACGCCATGCGGCACCTGCGAGAGGAGCCGAAGGCAGGACAGGATACGGGCCCTGAGCCTGCCACAAACGCCACCAGCCAGAGCTGAATCCATGACAACCCAGGCACAGAGACTGCATCGAGAGGCACAATGCTTGACGCTCCCTGATTAACACGAACATCCCAGACTGCCACTGGCGTATTCTGCAGCCGCAGCAAGCCTTGCCCTCGCACATCCACGCCCAGAGGAACATCCTGCGCTTCTAGAGCACTTCTGATTTTCAAAGCATCTAACGAGCTTTTCTGACTCATGGTACCACAGCCTCATCCCATGCCCAAGTCGCCGTGTGCTTTGTGTTCCCCTTGTACTCCCCCCCTACGGCGCATTTGTATGTCATTAATGCAGCCAGGGCTTTTACTTCGTCGACACCGATTGAGCTGCTGAAATGAACCCCTGGGAAAGGAGAGAGAAACGAAGAGTCCTGCCTTTTTACCACAAATTGTACTGAGGTGTTGTAGGAAAGACTTTTGACTCTGCCCAAACAGCAGCATCTGGTCGCAACAGGTGATCAGAAATCGTTCTGTTAGAGCCGTTCCCCCAGACCACCACAGAACAGAGAGCAGGTTCCCACAGCCGGCCACCCCATGGCCACCGGCCTTTGCTGCGGTGACACCTCAGACAGCGCAGCCGCAGCACGGCGAAAGCCTCAGGCTAAGGGCGCGGGGGTCTGGGACCCCTCGGGCCCAGAACAAGTTGCTGCTTTGAGGTGTGCTTAGGGCAGCGAGTAGCTGGTGTTCAGGGTAAGTAAGGAGTCACACACACGCAGGGGTGTCTGCCAGCCACGCTGTTCCTGTGCCCC